TCCCTATCTAGAGCCTTTATGAAAGTGTGAAAGTGCTAGTTGCTCAGTCATGTCCTACTCTTTGCCACCCCACGGACTCTAGACTTCCAGGCTCCTCTGTCCATGAAATTCTCCAGGCAAGAATACTGGCATGTGTATCCATTCACTCCACCAGGGGATCTTCCCAACCCAGGGATCAAACCCAGGTCTCCAGCATTGGCAGGTAAATTCTTTATCATCTGAACTACCAAGGAAGCCCCATTTATGGACTTTAATGATTGCAAAAACCTTAGCATTTTAAATCAGAGAGTCTTGAGTTGCAGATATTTCAATACTTTTCTTAGATATAAAAGTATTTTCTTGCATAGTTTGCTATAAAACTAACAATATTTCATAGTTTTGTGTTTGTTTTCCCCATTAAGACACTGCCTACTATGAAACCCATTATCCTAATTCAAAATGTGGTGCTGGAGAGGACTCTTGACCAGCAAGAAGATCAAAAAAGTAAATTGTAAAGGAAATCAAGCCTGAATATTCATTGGAAGGACTGATGCTGAAGCTGAAGCTCCAACACTTTGGCCACCTGATGCAAAGAGCCCACTCGTTGGAAAAGATCCTGGCTCTGGAAAAGATTGAAGGGAAAAGGAGAGGAGGACACCTGAGAATGAGATGGTTGAATGGCATCACCAACTCAATGTACATGAGTTTGAGCAAACTCTGGGAGATGGTGAAGGACAGGGAGGCCTGGCATGCTGCAGTTCATGGGGTTACAAAGAGTCAGACACAACTAAACAACTGAACAGCAAATAAAAATTCAGCCTCTATTTTATACAGCATCATTAAACATTTTCCAACTGTTGTTTTGTTGTGTTGTATTTTGCCTTTAGAATCGTTAGTGCTTTGTTGAATTATTCTCCATTTATGGTTCATGGATATCATTTGGTTTGAGCAGACTTCCTCTATAAATGACTTGATTGATTGACTTACCCCATTCTCTTCTCTTCCCCACATTCTTACTATATTATCCTTCTGTTTCTATATGTTATTATAAAATGCAATGCTGTTTCTGATGAAAGTAATTGTAAACAACACGACCAGGTAGGAAAACATACCATGTTTATTGCTTGGAAGAATTAATATTGGTAAAATAACCACACTACCCAAAGCACTGCGTAATTCAATGCAATCTCTATAAAGTACCAATGGCATTTTTTCATGAAACTAGAACAAATAATTTAAAGTATGAAAACATAAAAGACCTCAAAGAGCCGAGACAGTCGTGACAAAGAGCTGGAGGTATTTATGCACCTTGATTTCAGTGAAGTGAAAGTGAAAGTATCAGTCACCCAGCTCTTTGCAACCACATGGACTGCATGTAGCCTGGCAGGCTCCTCTGTCCTTGGGATTCTTTAGGCAAGAACACTGGAGTGGGTTGCCATTTCCTTCTCCAGGGGACCTTCCCAATCCAGAGATTGAACCCCAGTCTCCTACATTGAAGGCAGATTCTTTACTGTCTGATTCACCATGGAAGCCCTCTTGACTTCAGAATACATTTCAAAGCTATGGTAATTAAAACAATATGATATTGACACAAAAAGAGACACATAGATCAATGGCATAGAATAGAGACCCCAGAATTAAACCTATGGTCAATTAATGTACTACAAAGGAAGCAAGAATATACAATAAAGAAAAGGCAGTCTCTATAAGAAGTGGTGCTTGGAAAGCTGGATGAATGCAAAAAAATGGAATTAGAATATTGTCTCACATCATACACAAAAATAAAATGGAATAAGACCTAAATATGAGACCAAGACCTATAAAACTCCTAGAAGAAAAACAGGCTGAACACTCTGACATGAACTGTAGCAATATTTCCTTTGTTTCCTAAGACAATGGAATCTAAAGCAAAAATAAACAGACAGGACCTAATTAAACAAAAGTTTTTGCACAGAACAGGAAACCACGGATAAAATGAAAAGACAACCTACCCTAAATGGGAACATTTATTTGCAAATGACATGACCCAGTGAGGGGTTAATAAGAATACATAAACAGTTCATACAACTCAGTATCATTAAAATAAACAACCCAATTTACAAAAAAATAGGAAGAAGACCTAAATAGATATTTTTCCCCAAAAGACATACAAACTAGCAAGGCAAAAATTTTCAGCTCGAAACACAGTGGTGATCTTTCTCTCCCCCACTACTTTATGTTCAATTTGTTCCTAATGCAAGATAAGTGTTTAATATTTACTTGTTGAACTGATTAGTTAATCCTAAAATAATTGAAGTCTCTCCATGGATATTTCAACTCACAGTGCCGATTTAGCTCATTAGTCATAAAGAGTCTATCTTCACTATTCACCAGTTCTGCATGCGCTTATTTATCTGTCTGCTAAAATTTATTTTTAATGCTCAAATAAATACTCACAATGCTTTCACAGTCACTCATGGATGTGTACAGAGTGGTACAAAATAACACCTGCCTCACAAGTTCCCAGATGAGAAAGGTGACTCCCTGCATTTTTATTGCAGTTCTCAAACTGTAAACATATTCTTTCCACCATCTACTTAGGCCAAATTTCCTGTGTATCTGTGCTCTTTGATGGTGATGTTGCTGTTTAAAATAGTCCTAAGGCAAAGTGTTGAAGTGTTGTCTGGTGTTCCTAAGCACAGAAAGATTGGAACATGTCTTATGAAGAAAACACACATATAGATAAAGTTTTGTTCAAGTGCGCATTGTAGGATTGTGAGCCGTGAGTTCAGTGTTAATGAATCAACGGTGCAGTAAATCCAGGAAAACAGAAGGAAATTTATCGATTTATAAGTAGAGCCACTCCAGAAAGTGTTAAAGTAATATCTACAGTGTTATGATGAAGCTACTGAAGAGATGGGGAAAGAGCTAGATTTGTGGAGTCATGAGGTGTGACTGGTTTTTGTTTGTTTTTACTTTTTTCTTTGTTTTTAAAAGTATAGTGGACAGCACAGTGGTATGGCTGAAAGTCAAAGATATTTATGATAGTGTTACCCAGGACCAAGAAAAGATTAAACACTTCTTGGCTGGTATTTTATAATTAAGAAATATATATATAATTAATAGATTACTTTGAGATATATATATATATATATATATATATATATATATACATGTATATATATATATGCAGAATCACACATAAAGCTATGTATTTATTAGTTGACAAAAAATATGTGACCAGAAGCTCACTGGAACCAAACCTTGCATTTGCCCTAGAAGCAATGGCTCAATTTTCACTAAATCAGCACTTCCTGTAAATTTAACACAACATCATGAATAACAAGAACATGTTTTATGTAATCTCCTAGTCTTGATCTCACTTCAGTCCTGAGGATCAACACTCTTGTTCTTTTTGCTTGACTTTTCTTTTCTCTTCAGGGAAATACTCCCACCACTATCTCTCAGGCATCACTCATATAAGTGCTCCTGGAATTTAAAGGCAGCTATGAACCCCTTCTGATTTTGTTAAAATGCAAATTATGATTCATGAAGTCTAAGAAGAGATCCAAGACCCAATATTTATAACAATTTCCAAGATGCTAATTCTGCTTCTCATATATGAACCACCCTGAAAAATAAGGGTCTATATTCTGCCTTCCTCTTTCTGTTTAGAATACTTGGAGCAACACTTCATCCCAATAGGTCACTAGAGTTAAATAATTAGAATTGTCACAGGCAAAACTCTGTTTCTCCTCAGGAGCTCAGAGAAATCACTAAGGCTAGAAAATTGTGAAATGTCTTGGTCAAGTGAGGAGTACTTTAGCCAGAAGAGCATCAAATGTCTCAACTACTAAAAAGATAGCAGGGAGGAAAACGATGTTTAAAAGGCTATAAAATTGAAATAAATTTAACACAGATTTTTACTGAGAACATATCACACACAGGTAAGACATTTTGCCAAGGACGCATATAGTAAAATATGTGAACTTTGTTCTCAAGAGCTTAAAAATTAGAAGGGGGAAAGAGAACTAGACAGTGGCCGCAAAGGATCTGAAGTGAGGAGGAGATTTAGCAATGTCCAGTTAAATGTTGCTGGGAACTCACATGAGGCAGAGACAGCTTTCACTGGTGAATCAGGAAAGGCCCTTTGGATGAAGTAGCATCTGAAATAAGCCTGATGACCCACTCACATTTGAATACGTGAGGGATCCTGGGACTGTAATCCATTCAGAATTTAAATTATGAATGTTTAAGTCACAAACCTAGGTTAGAACAGCAAATCCTGCAAAATTACATTTGTTATTGCTTATATTAACAACTGATCATTCAGCAGAAAAAAACAGCATCTAAAGAAGTTGTACAAAGAGTGGAAAGGCCGTCATCACCGAGTTCTATCTAGATGTCCTGGGTTCCTGGGCTGCTGGGATCTCATTCCAGAGGGAAAAGTGTGTTTGAAGGTTTACAGCAAGTCCTGATGAGAACAGAGATTGAAGTCATTCTACATGAGGTGGAGGTAAGAAATGAGGGGCAAGAAGGAAAGGGGCTGGGAGGAGAATGAGAAGAGAGAGAAACAGGTGGGCAGACAAGTGGGAACTAGGGGGGAGGCAGGACACAAACAACTCACCAGCTTTTCCTAAGCCAAAATGCAAGACCTGCCAGGAGGACCAGGGGCATGATCACTGCGAAGATGATCCAGCCATTGGAGCTGCGATGATCTGTGGAGTGGGGGTGCACACAAGGGTGTCTTCTCAAACCCACCCACTGTCTTGCTGCATTTCCATGCTTTTCCTTTGTTATTCAAATATCTGCCTCAACAATCTCCTCCCTCCTTATTTCTTCTCTTATCCCTCCTCAGAGTGACTCCATCAAAACTTATCATTTTCTTATACCTGCAGGACTCTCATTTTTAACTCCCGTATTTCTTATTTTTATTCCTTTTGGATCTGGGCTGCCTAGAATTCCCAATTTTTCACCTGGCTCTCCTGCTCTGCCTGAGGACCACCTATTTCCATCCCAGCGGGGCCCCAGTTCTTCCTCACCCCAGTGGAGGACGATGTCCTGGCCTCCTAGACTGCTGTGTCTCACCCGGCAGCTCAGGCCAGATGCCTCACTGGCTTCCACATCCAAGGAAACCTGAAGATACCACGTCCCATCAGCGTTAGGTAAGACGTCACTTCTCTGAGTGCCCTGTTGCTCCTGCTCACCCCGCATCCACATCACCCAAATGGGCTTTGGGTAGAAGCCAGAGGCGTGACAAACCAGCATCAGAAGGCCAGGGCCAGGGCTGGGGCCAGGGGACAGCCAGGCCTCCGGTCGAACTGCAGAGGACAGGGAAGATCGTCAGATGAGGACTCTAGTACAGACTCAGAGGTTCAGAGCTTCATGTCAGTTTAGATGGACATACTTTTCCCACTGTTAGCAGTCGTTACCCATTATCCCCTCCCCCACTTGGCTCCTTGTTAGCAAGATGAGAAGGTGTGATTTTAGAACAGAAAATTTGTGGAGGAAGGGTGCAGGACTGACCTTGTCTCTGGAGATATGTCTTTCCTGCATCAAGAAGACTCAAGAGGAAACGTGGGCAGGTGTCACTGATCAGCTTGTGTATTATTTCCAGGGTGCCTTGATATAAATTGAATAGGAAGCAGGCAAACTTAGCCGTATTTCCACCATCTGGAGAGGGTATCCATACATTTTTCTGGAAGCTTAGGAAGTCTGATCCTTGATAACCAACTCGCACAAAGCCTACTGAGGCACCTCTGATGTGCATCTCACAGCCACCTGCTACCTGCAGTTCAAAGGGATCTGGGGAAGAAAAGTTCTAAATTAGAAGAAAGAAGGAGTGAATAAGATAAAATAAAATGAGTTTAATTAAAAGATGATAGAAGCATAAGGGAGGATTTTTAGAAAATTTGAGGGAATAGAACAAAATTTAGTTTGATTGGATGTTCAGAGATTGGGAACTAGTAGTAGTTGGAGATGCAGAAAGAGATGAATGCCATGAGGGGCAAAGTATTTGAAGAAGGCATTGTAAACTATGCAGGTAAAAAAATAAGGAAGGACTTAGTGTGAGAGATTTGGGATTATAATAATGTAGGGTGAGTAGAATGCTGTAGGTTACACTGAATATACAGACTGATCGCTAAAGCAATTGAATGGGTGATAAAATCACACTTCAAGAAGTGAATTAAGGAATGAGGAAGATGAGAGTGTCTGGTAAGGCTCAGAATTGAAGGAGGCTGCTTATTAGAGAAATAAGAAACACTGAGACACACACACATACACACACCATAACTTGCACCATATCCCCAACATCCATTGAGGGAACTGAACTTACATTCAAGCTTCCATTGACTGGCATGGTTGTAAAGTGCCTGGCCAAGTCTAATGAAGAATGTATGAAGTATTTTTTCCACTTCTATCAACTCCTCATCACTGAAGTTGCCTTTGGACCAAGGATGCAGGTAAATGACTGTGTCAGAGTTGTTTTCCCAGGCATGAGTCTGCAACTCATCCAACCAAGCTGAGCCCAGATTTTGTGTAAGGAATCGGCTATAAAATGATGAGATCCGAATGATTTGGAAAGTGATTGGCTCCTGTAAGTCTGGAAAAAGAACAAAGAGAATGAGAAGGGGCATTGGGAAGGAGAGAGAACAGAGAAAGAAAGGTGCAAAAGAGAGGAAACTCAGAATTTAGGGGAAAAGCAAGATACCTCAGCAAATATTTGGCTGCCCCAGGGACCCATACATAATAGATAGCCTTCAAAAGAGCACATGGACCTGGAGTCAGTGATACTGGAATGAAACTAGGCTGATATTCTCAGTCTCTAGGTTGGGGAAGCCACTCCATACACACATACATATCGCACATTCACACACATAAGCTCAAACAGGTGGATGTGCCTGCATGCATGCATGCACACACACACACGCACACATGCGCACACACATGTCTTTTTGAACAGAATTCTTACCATTCTTACTGTCACCACATGGGAGAAGAGTCAGGAGCAATGAAATTTGCAGAAACAGCATCTCATTTGCAGATGTTCTTTCTCTCAGAAATGTCAGTCTTTGATTTCTGTTCTAAACAAACCTACCCCACAATGCCTCTATTCTGACTTCCTTCTTCTGCTAACAGACAAAACTTCCCTTTAGTCAACATCTGAAAAAAGAAAAGTCTGCTCCTTCCCTAAACCCTGGGCCACCTCCTCAGATACTGATTTCCCTCCCAGTTCTGATTGTCCTCTCTGACTTCCAGCATCTCTTCCTGTCACCAGATTCCATCCTGTTCACCTTCCTCTAGACTAACTGCTATGGACCAAGTTTTATATGGCACTGAAAAGTCAATGAATATAAGCCACTTTCCCCCTCATTCATATAATAAAACCGTGAAACTAAATGTCTTCCTAGCGACCTATCTAATGTTCTCATGCCCCTGCTCTTCTCTGACATACAGTCCTTCTTTTGCCTTTTTGAATATCTTCTCAACTATTCTCTTCCTCTTTCTTACCCTCACCCCACCTCATTCACATCTCTGACTTCTTATTGGTTGCTTTATTAGCTTTTTCAGAATTCCTTATGATTGCTTTGAAAAACAGTATAAACTGACACCAATTCTCCATCATTCTTAGGGAAGAATAAAGTATGTAGACAGTAAACAATCAATGGTTGCTAGGGGCTAGGTTGTAGGAGACAAAGAGGTGTAGCAGTTGTATTCTTAGGGCAGTGAAACTAAACTAAAATATACTGTCACGGTGGATGCATGTCATTACATATTTGCCCAAACCCATTGAGTATATACCATTGTTGTACTTTGGTGATAATGACATAAATTATGAATTTTGGCTGATAATGATGTGTCAGTGTAGGTTCATCAATTGTAACAAATGTATCAGTCTGATGGGGGATGTTGATGGTCGGGGAGACAGTGCACAGGTCAAGGCAGGAGCTATATGGTAGCCTGTGATTTCTACTCAATTTTACTGTGAACCTAAAACTGCTCTACACATTGTCTTAAAAAAAAATGTTTTCTGGTATTTAAAGTCAATTAAGTATGTATTTTCAATAGAACATACAGGAAGACCAGAACTTATAAGCAGTACTGTGTGTACTGTGAGATGAAAAATGAGCAACTGTGATAAGGATTCTTGTAGTCTCACGTTTCTAAAGGAGACAGAAATTTAATATTAACTGAACCTCCTCGCTGTACCAGGCTTTGATCAGGGACCTTTGTTATGCACCCTGATTTTTGCAAACAACTCATTAAGTTTAGTATGCAATAATTGAGGTCCCATATGTTTCTAGATATGATCTCCTTTTAGATTATGACTAAAAGAAATGCTCCGATCTGCTTGCCCCTAGTCAGAAAACTTTAGACTCTCAAAGAAAACTAAAGAGTTGAGTCAGTTTCAGAAGTGTTTCTGACGACTTTTAAGCAGTTCAGTCTGTGAGTGATTGCAGGACTTTTGAAGAGACACAGAACTTCAATGAACTATTTTTCTTATCGATTTAGGGGTCATCTCTTTGATCCTATTAGGTACTAGATGTGCAAAGATAATTCTGATAATAATAGAAATCAGCAAAGTTGGGTTTTACTCTTATAGCACCTCTTATCTGCCAGCAGAAAGTATCTCTATTCTCTCAACAACCTTAAAGTAGGTATTATTAACTTTTTCAGTTTTAAAAATGAAGGGAAAAGGAGTTTGCTAAACTGAACTGAATTTTACAACTGCTGATTTGTGGAACTGGAATTTAAACCCAAGATTTTCTGACTGCATATTCTTCTATAGTATTATCAACACTAAAAATTGCACTTGAGGTTCTAACTTTTCAGTACACTCAGAGTCATGAGACATAAGTAGTATACATGTCTAAGGGTATAAGAAAAGCAGAGATGAATGCATAGGCAGGTGATCAAAACTGATCTTTTTTTTTTTTTTCTTAAGAGGAAATGTTGTTCTTCCTAAAAAGGAAATGATATGTTTTAAATGTTCTGAAAGAGCAAGTAAGTGTGACAATACAGAATACACCCCTCTTCTTTTGGAGGTGAGCTGTCTCTTGGGCCTTATAATGATCTTACTCTTCCTTTGCTTTTGTCATACTCAATAGACTTTTTCCCCTTAAGTAAAAGTAAAGAAACTACATTCTTGTTTCTTGACTGTTAATCATAAAATTAAATATCCATATTTTATGCATATATAATATATTTTTAAAATTTTTGGCTAGTATTTTCACTTCTGCAAGTAGTTTCACCACACAGCAAGTTGTTCAATATGCCAATTTGGGCATTAAAGATAAAAAACTATAATTCACCACAGTGTTCAATAGCATTAATTATCAATTCTTTAGCTAATTTATATACAATGGCTTGTTCTTTAGTGCTGTATTTACCAAATGTATCAAACAACATTTGAAGTTGGAAGCAAAATAAGAATAAGATTTCTCCTGTCTCAAAAAAATAACCATATGATTATGGTGATTATTTTTTGCTATTTTATAGTGGAGAACATAGTGTAGACAGAATTTTGGTATTTGGCACAGAATCTAGCTGAGATAATTTGGTGAAATATTAGGACTGGACATATGATGCAAAATTTTAAAAAGATCTAGATATATGCTTCCAACTATGTACACTACATGTATTGATAAGAAACAGCTGCATCCCTCCTCTGTTTTACTTCCAGGGAAATTGAAAGTGACTTATGGCAGATTTTTTTTTATATATATCATAAACAACTTACATCCAGTATTAGATCCTGAGTCCTTAATATTGACTTTGAGAAAGGAAATATCACCACTCCCTCTAAGATATACCCTAATACAACTATAAGTATGAAGTTACACCAGTTTGTTTTCAGATATTTTTGTATTTTTACTCTTCACAATGAAATATTTTTACAATTTTATTAATTTTTCATATTTCATTATCTTCTTTTTATCTTTTTCACTATGTTCTTTTCTTATGGCAAAACTGCTTGTGGCAGAGATTCTTCTGGCAAAAATACCTAGAATCTAAAAAATACATACAGCTCTGGAAAGGTGCATAACCCACTTTGGGTCAGAGTTAGTGGCAGAACCTTGATTAAAGCTCAGGCCTCATGACTCCCACTCTACATCCACAGGGCCTCCTATGAACATAGGGAATAGATGCCTTTCTGCATGGCTGAAGCAAAACTGTGAGACTGGTACCTCCCACAGTCCTGGGGACAGGATTCCTAGGAGAACCGTTTTCTAGAGCTGCTTTTTTTTTGCATCCTGCTCTGCATTCTCATGTTCCCAATTAGTATTAATTGAGGAAGGCATGAAGAGAAAACTGGGGC